GATTGGAGAACCTGAATATGTAAAAATAGAGGGCGTCGCATTGAACGCCATTCAATGTAGATATAGTAGAAATAGATCAGAACCGAATTCAGAACACGGGAAACAATAGAAGTGGTCACAGAGTATCAGAAGGACGGTATTTTACAAGCAGAGATGTGCCATTCAAGGTAGACACAATAAACATACCATTATGACACAAGAAGAAGAGTTGCTTTCATTGATATATGAAGAGTAGAAGGGTAGTAAGACTTCAGAGCATATCTTACAATCCAGCATATCTTATCATTATGAGGATGATTATGACCACTAACACACACAACCAGTGTTGATGATGATATTAATGAATAACATATGTAATATTTAGTTTGGTTTGCAAGATTTGGCGCAGGCTATGGTAGATAGCATTTAAAAAAAAACTAGCAACAATTTCGCATCATTGGTACAGGGTGACCGTGGTAGGTTTATGTAAAGACATAATGTAACTAAGCAGTACTGAGTTCTTCAATTGTTGAATTACTAACTGAAAAGAGCGACAAGCCAGATTTAGTCTCAGACATTGGTGGTGTTACTATGCACTGTTGTCACACATGGCATGCCTGCTTCACAATCGAAACAACATATTGGGAAATCATACCATAAGAAGGAGCAACCTATGCAAATACACAGGTTCAAACCTGCAACATCGTAATTCTACTGGATATATGATGCTAATTTAACACAAATGATCAAACTGATGATGGTGTAAACACGGGAACTAATGATATGATATTATGAACGAAACTAGTCAATGCTTAACCAAAATGATTTTAGGAATTGAATATTTCTACGATTAGATATTTTAATACCTACAAATGAATGAGGTTATTTAATGATGTTGATGATGTTGCTGATAAAATATGATGAACATGAAAGAGGTGATATGATGTGACGAAGTTATGCGATGTTGTTATGAAATGTTATGATGACAACTATGGTGACATGAATGCCCAGACAAGTACGTGATCCAATCAAGACATGAAACCGTTTGGGGGCACTGTAACGCTTGTGAAACCTACTCCGGCAACAGGGTGGGGGAGCCTTTCATGGCAGTGAGTTCTGTGTCATGGCGGTTGCTAAAACCAGTTCAGCTGTAAAACTGCAGCCGCTACCGGTTGGCCGTTTCAACACCGACAACCTTCCAGTGAACCGAGGAGCATCCGGCATCCGGGGAAGTGAGGTGAAGGTCAGAATGTGGCTGTCATCGGCCAGAAGATTGTTGTTTCACTGTCTCATGCCCATGAGATATTCAGATAATTAATGCAGGCATCCAATCACTTGATTGAATCAAGTGGCAGATGGAGCACCCTTTTGTGACTGTGTGGTTGCTGGAGGGCATGCCTCGGCACAAAGCAAACGGCATTGACTTCAGACAAGCCTGTGACAAGATTGACAAGCTGTTTGCTGTTTTGGACTTGACGTTCATTGGCTGAACTAATGAACTAAGTAGTCCCAATCGACCTCGGCGGGCTCTGTGTTTGTAAACGTGTGCGTTTCGCGGGCACACGTTTTTGCCATGCTCCATGGGTGCGGTGAGATCTCAGCTGGACAGCGAGGCTGGCATGACAGACGTATATACTGCAATGCTCGGAGTTCAATTGCAATGCTTTTGATCTTGGTTGGTTCGTGTGCGGCAGGACTTGGACAGGGGTCCTTTCTCTTTCTTAACTTTCTCTCTATATTCCATCCGCACGTGGTGGGTTTCAAAATCCTGGCGCAGTTATTGTTCCCTTGCATCCTTGGCGCTGAAACATCGGGGAAGTTTTGAAAGACTTGGTTTGATTCGACGCCCTGAAGCCATTTGGGTCTGATTGAAAGCCATCGGTGACAGCCTTGCCCACCGGCACCACCGGCACTTGCGCGTTTTAGCCATGGCCACCTTCCAGAGCTACCCATCCCTTTTGTCCCAACAGTTCGCACAGTCCTTGGTGATGGAGTTCATGGGTGTCATGCTATTTCAACTCCTAGGAGGAAGTGCAGCTGCTGGGATGCTCGGATGAGCTTGGAGACTCTGAACTTGAGAAGACGAGTCCTCCATGGGGCACCCGTTTGGTATACAAACAGTTCTGCATATGCTCCAGAGATGTTTAGATTCAGATTGAGATCTATCCTCTGAATTTGTAGAGAGGGGTGAGAGGGTTCCTCTTTCAGTCTGCCAAGGGTTCTCCAAGGGCTTGAAGGCATACCCTTCTTGGCCTCTTGGCCTGACAGTTGTTCGGCGATTTGTGGACCTGACCTAGCCGCCTTAGGTGGGGTGCCCCCGTCAACGGCATGGCCTTGGTGGTTTTGATCTACACGACGGCGGACATCTCTGGTGCCCACTTGAACCCCGCAGTGTCCATCAGCCTTTCTATGGCAGGCTTCTTTCCGGTGCTGCACTGCGACTTGACTGCAATAAGTCGCTGACGCTTGTGGGGTGTGAGCGAGAGGTCTCGGCAGGGGTGGGCAAAATAGAAGGAGAGACGTGGAGAAACCGGAAAATGATACTCTATAGTCAGATAACTTGGCTCAGGTTTTTGTACTGAGCCATTTATTGTGTAGGGAAAAACGCCTCTGGAACGAAAAAACCAGATGCAGATGGCGCAAGCCATGTTAGGCGAAAAGCCGTGACAATGAATGGGAAACTACTAGTCGGGGATGGGTTTGGCGCCATCTACTTTTACAATCCGCTTCGTGAAAGACCGCTATAAAATGTTTGGCCCTGAAAGCAGCAAGCACGACATTAGATGGCGCAAGCCACCTTTCCAATGATGTGTTTTGAGTGGTTTCTGTGAAAGGATATGTTTTTTGTGAGAGCGGTGTTGCAAAGAAAATTGGCAAGAGGAAACCCATGAAAGCACCATAGATGGCGCAAGTGGCAACACTGTTCTTTTGGAGAGTGACTTACTGTAAGGAAAGGAAAGGGAAGAAAAGGACAAGGTATTAGTTTGCTGACTTTTGCAATTAGACTGGACTGGCAGGCACCATCCCCAAAACTACTCAAAATAGGCCACTTCCGAAGGTCTGGGCGGAAAAAAAGACATTGGACCCCAAAAGGCAAGGGAAGGATAGAGAAAGGAGAAGTGAATGAAGGAAAGGAAAGAAAAAGGAGAGAAGAGGGAACGGATAGGAAAGCAAAGGTGAGGAAAGGAAAGCAAACAAAAGACACATTTAAAAAAATAGATGGAAAGACTAGTCCAGAAAAGGAAGGGGAAGGGAAGGGAAGGGAAGGGAAGGGAAAGGAGAAGTGAACAGAATTAAGCAACAGGAGA